CTGTTCCTCTTCTCCTGGAATAGCTTGCCCTGTAGCTTGCCCTGTAGTCCTATCCAACACTGTCTGTCAAGGTGGTTCAGAAGGGGTGGGTGTCATCCTGGAGGGGAGATCATGACACAGAACTAGCTGAGGAAAGTGCCATATCACAGTTCCAGAAAAGATCACAAGGGTTGAGTCAAGTCAATCAGTGTCCAGGACTTCGACTGGAGCCAGAGGAAAGGGAGAGTGAGGGGACAGGCTAAGTTGTTGCCTTCAGGAGGGCGAGCCCAAGAGGGAAAGCAGAACCAAGAACTAGTGAAGCAGCCTCCCAGAGACACCTTCAGTCCCCGGGGTCCAGATGAGCTTGAGCCAGAACTCCTGGAATTTCCAATTGCATGAATGGAAAAAACTCCTCTTTGTCCTAGCTGTTTGGCTCAGTTTTCATCATTTGTCACTAAGAGCATACTAGAAGAATCATTACTATTAGAGAAACCTAACGACAAACTGTTAGTGTTACCTGGAAAATCCCTGGATATATTCTATATGAGAGCAATCAGAGGACCACTTGAAAGGCAACCATAAGAGCAGGGAAATTTTTGTTTCCTTCTTTATTGTTTTTCTTCCTCAAAGAGTGTCATTTTCCCTAGCAACCCACACTCACTCCCAAAGCAGTGAGTAGGCATCCTCAGCTGTGTGCTTGGCTTACTCAACAACAGGAGACTGCGGCATGCGCCTGGCTCTCTAGGGGAAGCCCTTCAGTTCCTCACCTGCAGCGGGGGTGGTGGGGCTTGGGGAGAATATGGGAAAAGGGATCCCGCCTCCTTCCTCTGGGCTTCTTCCCTGAGAGAGGTTCCTTCAGGCAGAAAGAGGCCACCAGGAACAAAGGAAGTTGCAAAGATACTGAACTTGCTTCAAGCTCCATTCCTTTGGTAAGAACGGTTAGCTGCGTCTCATTGTCGTCTCATTGTCGCCACTGAAGAACAGTGAAGGTGCCAAAAAACAAAGCACCCTGGTGAGAGATGGAAGAATCCAAGGGCTTGGTCCATTTAAGGAAATGGCTATGCAGTCTTTGAATAATTAAGGACATCCAGTTTGCAGGATATTAAAGAAGTCCCTAATATACATTTATGTTAAGCATGTCATTACTAATCCCAGACATTAAAATTGTATAATAATGGTTATGGACAATTCTGCTGAAGAATTTCACTTATTGGCAAGATTAGATATTAAAAGAAGGGAAATGCTAAATTATAGAATACTAGATATTGAATATTTAATAAATGAATTCCCATGCTGATGTTAGGAGTCCCAGAAATAATGCCTGCTGCATGTCAGGGCTTCATCAATACTGGTCAGTTATAATGGTTTGGGAGCAAGTGGATGTCTAATTGGTTCACAGCCCAGATTGAGGGCACAGAAGAATCACAATCAAGGTTAAGATCATTCTAGAAAAGACTGTTGGTAGTTACAAATAGTTAAAGGATGGGAAAGAAGATTGAAGTTTTTGCTGGAGTTGATTCCTTTGAGAGTTCCTGGGACATTAAACCTGGGCTTATTCATATAAATATTGGCTCTGGGTCTGATTATTTTTCTGTCATTTTTTCATGTAACTTTGAATTGTGCCAGGTCCTCTTGGGCACCCAGCAATAGCTTCTGACTTCTAAATTCATATCACTTTCAAAGAAGGAAGAGGAAAGGAAAGAAACAGAGGGAAAGACAGAAGGAGAATGGAGAGGGAGGGAAGACGAAGAGGAGTAGGGCTGGAAGAGGAAAGAATAAGGAGAGGAAATGTGGGGGAAAGGAGAAGAAGGGAGAGTGGGAGGGGAGAGAAGATGGGGGTGGTTAGGACATGGAGAGAACCAGAATGAGTAAGACCCTCTTTTTAAAAAAGATTTATTTATTTGTAAGAGATTGAGAGAATAAGAAGAAGGAGGAAGAGGAGGTGGAGGAGGAAGAAGAGAGGAGAGAACTGGGTAGAGAGGAGAGGAGAGGAGAGGAAAAAAAAATTCCATCTGCTGGTTCATTCCCCAAATGTCTGCAACATCCATGATTGGATCAGGCTGGAGTCAGGAGGGCAGAACTCCTTCGGGGTCTCCCAAGTAGGTGGCAAGGGCTCTAGCACTTGAACCATCATTTCTGCCTGCCAGGATACATTAGCCGGAAGCTGGATCAGAAGCAGAGCAGCTATGACTCACGCGGGCACTCCCATATGGGATGCAGGAAGAGCTGCTGGTTTACTGACAGCCAGAGAACATGCTGCTTTAGCAGAGGTCATTAAGATAGAAGAGAAAGGAAATGATGAAGTCATTTGTCCTCATGGCCAATTACATCTCATTCAAGCTTCCTGTGCAGCTCAATTCTTGGCAACTTCTTCAGGTATCAGATGAAGCTAACAGACAAATGTATTATAATGAGCTCAGATGATGGCATCCCACTACCTGGATGGGCTATCTGCACTTATCCTATAGAAAAGTCCTGTTTCTGTTTCATCTACTCAAGCTCTGATTTTCTCACCCCAAGTAAATGATGAAAATGATTAACATAAACAGAATGCCCTGTGATAAGCCCTACACTTCACTGATTTGCTGAAGTTCAAGAAAAAACAGGAATAACTCAAGTGTGTTGAGGATCAGTGATTTCACATTTACAAAGCAAAATAGCTTATTGATAGTCATGAAGAGAAAAGATTCTGTAGGAATACAAAACCATTGTTGTCACTGGTAACAGGTCCAAATATCTCGCCAACATTTTTATGATTCAGACTATTAAATTTCATACTAAAATATGATAAAATGATATTCATTAAAGAGATTTTGAGGGTAGATGTTTGGTCTAGTAATTCAGACACCAACATCTGATATCAGAAAGCTTGGATTTAATTCCCAGTTCAAGCTTCCTGCAGACACAGAGTCTGGGAGGCAGAGGTGGTGGCCCAAGTAATTGGGTATTGCTACCCATGTGGTTAACTTGAGTTGAGTTCCCAGCTCCAAGTTTCAGCCTGGGCCAACCCCAGCTGCTGCAGGCTTTTAAAAAGTGAACCATTGGATGAGAATATTCTCTCTCTGTTTCCCTCTCTCTCTCTCCCTTTTCCTCCCCCTCTCTCATAAGTAAATAATTTTTAAAAATTACAAAAATAAATTTTTATAAACAAAGCTCAAAAAACAGTGAGTATACTTCATCACCTCTACACAAATAACAACTACATTTTACAGTAATTTTTCTAAATGATAACGACAAAGCCAATATGTGGTAATCATAAAAGCAGTAATATTTGGAATATAATTGATTACCTGTTAGGCACTGGTTTACCTACTTTGTTTGTATCTATTTTCTTGTGTAATTCTCATTAAAAAAACCCTCTGTGATAAGTGCTATTCTGTTCTTATTTTATGAGTAAAGAATCAAGAAACCAAAACTCATAGTCACAGACTTCAGCTTGGCTTAAGGGATGTTAAAGAGCAAACTGTATTTGTTTGACTTATTTGCTGAAGTCACGGCTACTTGGTCTGCCGAGAAGCTTTCAAATCTCTGCGGCACCCACGCACTGTGGAAAGAGCTTGGCTCTAAGCAGCTTCTGTCTTGGAGCCGAGTCATTTGCGCAGACCTGTCTTCCAAGTTGTGCATAGATCATGTTTCCAACACTGCACGCATAAGTGAAATAAACACAGGCACAGCTGATAGTAATGATGGCAGTAGTTTTTGGAGCAGCAGTCAGAATGCTACCCTTTGATGGACAGAATTGAACTTTATAAGGCTTTTATTTACCTTCTTCAAATTAATTTCTATTTTTCTCTTTATTCCTTCAAGAAGGAAAAGGTTACAGTGGCAGTCACTGCTCTTCTAGAACTTGACTGAGGACAGTGGGCTGTTACCTGGTTTTAAGTAACACAGCTTAGCTATAGCTGTCAGTAGAAGAGCAACCTTAGTGTATCACAGGCGCCTATACCATGCAGTACAGGCCCCAGAAAAGCACTTAGGAACAGTATAGAATCAGATTTGCAAAATCTGATCCAGAACTCCTCACTATTTATAGGCCACTATTATTCTGTAGCCTAGGGAATCTATTTGTAATGTCAATCATCTCTTAATTTGTTTTTCATTTGAATTTTTTTGCACATGGGGTCTTCTTAAAGTAATTTGCTTCTTGAATTTATGGAAGCCAGGGTAAATGTAAGGTAATCAAATATAAGACTCATTTGCTCTTTTAACACTCTGAAAAATGCCCTAAGCACTAGTGTAGGTAAGGAAGATGGCAGTGAATAAGGCTATCAATGCCATTAAGGTGCGCAGCTGTGGCTGGAGAGACGCATTCTGATGTGTTGTTTTTTTGCCTTGGAAAGTCAACAATGAAATAAGCCCCCAACCTTCAACAACACAGCTCTCTGATGGCTTCTTGAAGGCCATGCCATAACCTTTTTGAAATCTCCTTCCCACGTATGTAACTCATAGCACATTAATGGGAATTTGTATCGTCAGAAAATAACAGAAGTTAGAGTTGAACGTGGTGAATCTTTGGGAGCGGAATGTGGGGACCGTGGTTGGCTGCTCTGAGCGGCATGATCTGGAGGAACCCCAGATTCGTGTGTTCATCCCACTCCACGGTCCCATCCCCCACTTCATTTTTCAGAGGAAGAAACTAGCTCTCAGAAAGCTTAGAGAACAGCTGTTTTTTGACTCTAAAGGTTTTTAATTGGTTTGCTGGTTCTGCTCGTCTCCAACGCAGATAGGAAAGCTGTATAGAAACAACAAAATTTAGGGCTTTAGAGGGCGTTCTTTTGGCCAAACTCAAATAACTTGTAAGCAGAAGGTGTGCGGGCAACAGAAGATTGATAGTAAACAGCCTGGCTCAGGCATTTTGCTATTCTCTTCCTTCTCAGCTGGTCCTCCAGAAACACTCCCAGGATTACGCTGGTGGACGGGTGAAACCACATGTCCCAGGATGCAGTTCTGCCCCCAGCTTCTATGTAGCGTGGGCGCCACCCTCGTTGCATTCTGGGAAATGTAGTTTATTATCAGTAACTCGATGTCTAGGAAACCAGGGCTAACAGGTTGGAGGGATTCGTCCACCACTGGCCCCGCCCTCTTGGCTGGCCACGCCCAGGTTGCTTAGGAGATGAGAAACGCTGAATCTTGGTCCTGGTCGCGCCGAGCGGGAAGAGTGCCGAGGGAACTCCTCTGAGGTCTGTTCCTGGAGCGTGGCCATGCAGTGCGTCCGAAGCCTCTACCATGAGTGGTGCGAAAGTCAGCCACACTGGTTTGAAATCGGACCCCCGGACTTGCTGGAGCGCAAAGGCTCCCTGACGCTGCGCTCCCACCACAAGAAATACTCCAAGCCCGTGTTGGTGTATTCCTGGTGAGCCAGCTACCCGCAATCCCTGGGTGCTGGGGGAGGGAGGAGACCGGGAGGACTGGGACTGAGGAGAGAGAAAACAGAAGGAGAGAAGGAGCAAAGAAGGGAAGAAGAGGACAGAGAGGAAAAGGGGAGAAAGGGACGAGAAAGAAAAAGTGAGACGAGAAAGGGGAGGACACAAAAGAAGAAAACGACCAGTAGCAGAGGCACTGGAGGGAGGGCTGGAGCAGGGGGCGTGCGAGCTGGGGCAGCCAGCAGGAGGCGGGAGAGCCCGCCTGCAGCCGCTCTCCAGCCGGCGCTGCGCTGCCGGGGCGGAGGCAGAGAGGAGGGGCTTCTTTTCAGAGGCCTGGAAAGCAGCTTCTGAAGCAAGTAGTGGCTCGTAAAAGACCGAGCCCTTTGGCAGGCTGGACACCACCGAAGGGAGCTGTCAGAGAACCAGCCCCCAGGCTGCCACTTCCTGGGGGGAGGAAGGCGCTCTGAGGGAGTTCCAAAGGCGTCCCCCAGGCTACTTAGGAGGGCTCTTCCAGCCAGAGGTCACACAAGCTGGTATCTTCCTCTAGGTAAGACCCACAGACAAAGTTTGTTTGGCGTGCGCTCTTCGCATTTTTTTTCATTGTAGTTGGCCACACTTAGAACCAGAAGAAGTACACGAAGATCCGGGGCTGTGTCTTCCGAGAAAGTTGAAAGGCATGACGAGAGGACTTTATTCCTCCTGGCAATGAGGAATGCAGCAGAGCTGAGCTCCACCTACTCCTTAAGATGGCACTGGCTCTCTGTCTAGTAGTGTCACTCAGGGTTCTTACTGGCTCCAGGATGAGCTGTTCTGTTTACCTCCTGTGCATGAGGCCCTCGGCTTGGAATTCATTGAAACACGGATCGCGGTGATCAGTAGCAACACAAGGACATGGCTGGGAGAAAAGCGAGGACTTTGAGGGCAGTGCGGATTGTGTCTTTCAGGCCAACTCTCCTGGGCTGAACCACTGACAAATGTGGCTGGCCCTCGGTCGCCACAGGTTCCACACCAGCTGATGCAGCCAACCATGGGTCACAGATATTCAAACAAAACATTTGCATCCCTTCAGGCCTTGTGTGGAATTTTTTTCTAGTACTGCTCTCTAAAGAATACTATCTAACAATTATTTACATAGGATCTGCATTGCATTATTGAAATATTTACATAGGATCTACATTGCACTAGGTATTGTAAATCAGCTTGAGATGGTTCAAAGTATACAGGAGGATGTACAAAGGTTATGGGCAAATACTATGACATTTTATCCAAGGGACTTGAGCATCTGTGGATTTTAGTATCTACAGGGGATTCTCAAGCCAGTCCCTGAGGATACTGAGGGATGACCATAATCACTTTTGTTGGACTTGGAATATTTGAAGGGTAGCAGAACAAAAGAGAGAAATGAAAAGGAGTCACAGTCTCGGCTACTTTATACTTTTGCCTTTGAGAAGGGAGGAAGGATTTTGACTCTAGACTTAAGGTTAATCCCTACTTGATTCCATTCACTCATGTGATACTCGTGACACCTGCAGTTCCTGTCTTGCAAACTTTCTGAAGCCTACGACTCCCTGCTTTCCTACAAGCTTACTTCCCTACTTTCACTTCTCATTCCTAAGACTGGCTGGTGGCCTATTTTGAACTCAGTGTTAGAGGTTAAATAGGTGTGGAACCCGAAGCTCCACTGGGAAAGAGAAAAATCCTCTCTTAGTCTCATGGAGGGCTCTGGTCAGGGACCTCAGGCCAAGTGCTGTCATTGTACTTCTCCGTAAGGACTTGAGCCATCACCACAGAAGTGGCTGAGAGCGAAAGGCCTCTGCCAAGGGACTGTTTCTGTCCTCTTCTGCACTGCCAGTACTTTTGAGGAGTTGCCTTGCAAACATGATAAATATCCATAGCAGAACCACAATTAAGAGCTGAGGAACCTGGTGGAGGGAGAGTGGTGGCAAACACTGTGCAGCCTTCAGCCACTGCCGAAAAAGTAGGCGGCTCCCCTGCTATTGATTGCAGAAGGACGATTTCAGAGCAGGAAGATTTAAAAAAAAATTTAGATTTATTTATTTATTTATTTGAAAGGCTGAGTTATGGAGAGTCAGAGGCAGAGTGAGAGAGAGAGCTCTTCCATCTGCTGGTTCACTCCCCAAGTGGATGCAACGGGCAGAGCTGGCTGGGCCAATCCAAAGCCAGGAGCCAGGAGCTTCTTCTGGGTCTCCCACATGGGTGTAGGGACCCAAGCACTTGGGCCATCTTCTAGTGCTTTCCCAGGCCATAGCAGAGAGCTGGATTGGAAATGGAGCAGCTGGGACTGAAACTGGCACCCCTATGGGATGCTGGCACTGCAGATGGCGGCTTCACCTGCTACACCACAGCACCTGCCCAGGCCCAAGGAAGATTTAAATTTAACCCAACAAATATTTGTATGTCATACATTTTGCTACATGTTGAGAACACAGAAACACTGAAAGAGTTACAGTGAGAGAAAGCATTTAGCATCATGCTTGGAACACAGTAAATAGTCAGTAATACATGGTGTCTCCTGTTGTGGGTGGTGGAGTCCCCGACTGAGTTCATTCTAGGTTCTTCCTTCTATACATAAAAGAATTAGAAGTGGAGGCACAAAGGTGTACAAGAAATCAAGATTTATTCAAAGCAGAAGAAAAATGCACACTCAAATAAGTCAGGCCAGATTGAGAGAAAGAAAGAGAACAAACAAAAAGCCAAAACATGGGGCTGGTGCTGTGGTACAGCGGGTTAAAGCCCTGGCCTGCAGTGTGGGCATCTCATATGGGTGCCGGTTCCATACTCGGCTGTTCCACTTCTGACCCAGCTCTCTGCTATGGCCTGGGAAAGCAGCAGAAAATGGCCCAAGTCCTTGGGCCCCTGCCCTGCACCTGCATGGGAGACCCAGAAGAGGCTTCTGGCTTCGCGCCAGCCATTGCATCCACTTGGGGAGTGAACCACCAGATGGAAGATCTCTCTATCTCTTCCTCTGCCTCTTTCTCTCTGATACTCTGCCTTTCAAATAAATAAATACATAAATAAATCTTAAAACAAAAAACCAAAACACAGAAAGACCCCCACCGAAACACCCAAAACTAAAACCCCCACTCAACAAGGTTCAGGGTGTCCTTTTTTACTATTGGGAGGCATAGAACCTGGTGGTGTCTGGGGTGGAGCTTAATTGAATATTTAAAAGTGGGCAGACCTTGGGAAGCTTGAGAACCACCCATTTCTGTGCTCTTTTTGGAAATAAAGGAAATGTCCTGGCCAAGGTCCATGATGGGAGTTGCAGTGCTGGCAATGGTAATTTTATGACAGTGACCTAAAGGTTATTGCAGAGACATATCCTGCAACCTTTGTGGATATTTCCAGGTGATTCAGATTCTAAGTTCTCAGCATTGCGGAATTGCTACACAGAAAGGGGGTGCTGGGCGGTGCATGAAAGGGAGGCTTGGGTGCAAGGCGTGCAGAAAGGAGGTTGTCGTTTGGCCCAGCCTGGGCTGTTATGCAGGGGCTGTTGTGTGGCCGAGCTGTGGCTGATCAGTTATCCCTTGGCAGTCCTACCAGATCTGTCCAACTGTCAGCTAAGCTCTGCTGTGGGTCAGCTGGGGCTGTTAGTCAAGGGCCTGCACTGTGTGCTGGTTGGCTGGGGCTGTCAAACCTCAGCTCCTCCCTCCCCCCAGCTACCTGCCTTCCCACATAACTACTGCTTTTTGTTTAGTAGGCCAAAATGGTAAAAAGCACTTGGGTTGTAGATTTGAGTGCCAATTCTGCTGCTTTGTGATGTGGCAAATGATTTGATTGCTCTAGGCCACTGTTCTGGCATCTGTAAAATGGGAGTAATAGGATTACTGTTGGATTAAACAAGGCACTGTATAGTATATGAGTTGCCATTTAACATTTAGCCTGGCCCATAGTAAGCACAGTGAGTATTATTTATATGTGTTAAAGCGTGGTCATTGACCTGAAATTTCTTATGCTAGTTTTAGGAGAATAATGTCAATACATTCTGTATAATCAGATTTGTGCAAAATAGAGATGGGTATAAGAAGCAAATGTAACAGGTCATGTGTGTGTGTGTTTTCCTGAGTAGGGTTTTGAAGCAAAAATAGAAGCTCCGTAGGTAAACAAAAGGGAACAGGCAATAGTAGAGAAAGAAGCAGCACAGGAAATAGAAGTAATTCCCTAGAGTTGGCAAATGTAGTTGATTCTCATTATTTGTGGCTTCTGTCTTTGTAAATTCAACAACTGGCTAAAATTTATTTGTAACTAAAAATCAATACTCGAGGCACTTTCATAGTCATTTGCAGACATGTGCAGGGCAGCCAAAGAGGCAAAACATCTCAGTGGCCCTATGTGGATGTTCCCCACTAAGGCCAAACAAGGGGACCCTCTACCCTCGTGTTTCAGCAAGTGCACATTTCACAGGCTATTTAACACTACTGTTTGGTGCATATTTATGCTTTTTATTTGTGCTGCTGTTCTCAAAATGACCCCAAAATGCCAGGCTGAAGCTCTAATATACCTAAGACAAGAAGGCTGTGCTGTACCTTCCAGAGAAAATATGTGTGTTGTGTGAGCTTTGTTCGGGCAGGAATTATATCGCTGTTGGCAGTGAGTTCAATCCTAATGAATCAAAAATATATGTTAAATGTCTTTGAACAGAAACACATATAAAACAAGATTATGGATTGAGTGGTTGGTGAAAAATACTGTGACCAGAGGCCTATAAAAACCTAACCTTTTATTTCCTCTAGCGGCAATGGTGTACTCTTCACTGAGCATTTGTGGCAACTTTCTAGGACACACGATAACGAGAACTGACTGTCCAGTGTGAGAGGCGTTCGTCTTTTCTGAGCTGGCTGTACTGCTGGCGTCTTTGTTTTCCTTCCATATCCAGCCAGTCACCAAAAAGCGTCCTAGAAACTGGAACAAAATTCAGATTGTGTAACCTTTGAGCAGAATAATATCATTGACTATTCTGTTTTTAATG